ACCTGTTCTGAATAGCCCTGAAAGTCGAGATTCTCCTGTATCAGTTTCAAGCCAAAAACGTTTCTGCAGCAGTGAAAAATAAGGATTTCGAGATCTCAATGTAGAGATCTTCGAAATATAAAAATTGCTTAAAACGAAAAAGGAGGTATGCTGCTGGATCGGTTTTGAAAGGCGAATCCAACAGTATGATTTTTAAAAAATTTCGTTCACAAACGAGATTACAGGAGCAAATCTCTACATGTAGAAAAACAGAAGAAAAAAACAGAGCAGTTCTTCGTTAGATCCAAAAAATCGCAGACAGATCCAACCTGTTTCACGCCTCGGCTCTCATACCAAATGTTAGTCCCAGAATACTAACAATCATACAACCATAGCAGTGATAAAGAAGCAAATAGGAAGAAATCGACAAGATTAAACCCCCAATCTGGTATACCGTATAAACCTGCCGCTACTCTCCCTGGAGAAGGAGAGCAGCGGCAACCCTAATTTCTCTCTATCTCGCCTCTGCGTCTCTAAGCCTCTTTCGATCTCGAGGTTCCCGTAAGTTAGCCTCCTTTTATAGGAGAAGTTAGCTAACTTACGGGTTACAAGGAAGCCCACGGGCTGATACACATTTGTGGCCCGTATTACACGTTTAATTAATAACTACACAAATACAAAGATAACTAACTAGATTGAACACCATAAAATATTCCCAACAGTATTTCCTCTCAAGCTTATATTTAGCAATCAAAAGAGCTTTAAGATGATTCCAGCTCAATCTGTTCTCCTCACTTGGGCAAGCTTCAAATTCCTGTTCAGCTTTCATGACCTGCTCCTCACAGGTTCTAATATCTTCAAAAAGGTGCCAAAAGTCTCCTTATTCCATACTTTAAGGTCCTTTTTAAGACATTTAAGCTTATGAACGAAACCTCTCATACACCCACCCCCAACATTTGAATCCCAACTTTTTTTAACAACATCAAAGAAAGTAGGATGGCGTAACCACATATTCTGAAATTTGAAAGGCTTAGGATTACTCAGAGTATTAGTGGAACACCTGATTAAAGGAAGGCAGTGATCAGAAGGAGTTTTTTCCAAAATGTCTGCCAGAATGTGTTGAAAGAAAGCACTCCAATTAGAATTAATCATATATCTATCTAGACGCCTCCAAACCCAACCATTAGATCTCACCCCCTGACCAAGTAAACTGAGGGCCTAGATAAGCTGGCTGAATGAGGTTACACACATAAATGCAATCAGAAAAATCAATAATGCTTCTCAAATTAGGCAAGGATCTTCCTTTATGTTCACAATGGGCTGCAATCGCATTAAAGTCCCCTCCAATCAACCATGGCTCATTTATGTTAGTAGATAGCTCGGCCAAATAACTCCACAGGTCTCTCCTAATCAAGTAATTATGCTTACCATAAACAACAGTAAACCAACCACAGAAATTCCCTTTCCTAACTTTCATGTGCACCAGCTGGTCATGCCACTTTACATAAGAAATATCAACCTCATCCGAGTCCCAAAAGACCCAAATTTTATAAAGAGAAGAGTAAATAACTTTAGAAAATCCAAAAGTCTGCTTAAAAGAATCTGCTTTGGAAACATTAACCATGGGCTCAATTACTGCTAAAATACAAACCTGCCATTGCCTCACTAAAGAATTTAGTTTAGCACCGGCAGACTCAATACCTCTAACATTCCATGTTAGACAGTTCATTAAGAACAATGTGGGAATTTTGAAGAAGCCAGTCTGCTGATCCCTCAGTAGCTGACACAACTGATCCATCCATCTTTTTTGCAGCATTGCGAGTGATTCTGGGGGAACCTCCAGGTATTTCTTTTCTTCTATTCCTTTTGCTCTTGACTGTGGTGAATTCCCCTTCCCTTTGATTGTTCTGGTCAGATTTTGCAGTTTGAAGAGTGGAGGATTCAGCCATCTCAAGTCTCTTGGCCATGACATCCAGCTTGTCAGCTATGTCCTGCCAGTCTATCTCCCAATTATGAAGAGCCTCTAAATTTTTGCATGTTTCCCCCTCAGATGAGTACCCTTTAGCAATTAGCTCTGCATCAAATTCCATCTGCTTCTTCATACTTGTCAATTGAGAATCATCTTTGATAGAGTGTATCCTATTATTCTTAGCAATCCCCTTCACTTGTTTCTTAAGCAGCTCCTGCAGTTCATCCTTATTTAATGCTTCAGCCTGTATTGCCATAACCTTACTGTTTAATGTAAGGGATGCTTCATGATATACTTCTTCAGTATCAGTGTCATCATCCACCCCCCATGAGAGAAGTTTGGGGTGCCCGCTGCTTGGAGGATGACTCTTCATAGATTACTAGGGCTTTACTGTAATTCTGGCTGATAGAATTAGTTGTATGTTTGCTTGTAATAGGCTCAGAAGCAACTTCTTTACCCTTTTCAGCTGCTGTAAATTTCACATGCTTAGTATTACCCTCCTTTACAATCCACTACTCCTTAGTCAAAAGAGCTTTAGGATGTAAAACTGCCTTAGGTTCCGGATTGTACTTAGGACATTTGGAGGTGGCATGCCCTAAGTGCAGACACTGATTACAATATTCAGGCTTATGTTCGTAAGTAACAGGCTGCGAAAAACCAAATGTCCCACAATTTATCCACACCTTATGGGGCATTTCTTGGGTAAGATCAAGCTCCACACACACCCTAGCCACAGATGGTCTCGAAAGACTAGCTGTGGCAGCATCAAGCTTTAAGGGCCTGCCAATCAAGCCCACAATGTCAAATAAGGCTCGTTTATCTTGTAGGTGCAGTGGTAACCCTTCAAATGCAATCCAAACCGGTACTACCAGGGACTCAACATTAGGACGAAAATCCGGAGTCCACTTGGTAACCCTCATCACAAATCCCTGAATGTTCCAACTCTGTCTGTTCCAACATCTAAAGTAGTCCTTATCAGTATCAAATCGAATTAGTATGTGTTTGCGTTCTAACACACCCAAATGGAAAGGACCCTTAAAACCAATGATCTCGAACGATTTTCGAATTTTGTCAAGGCTAGGCCTTCCACGATAGAAATATCCGATCAGAGATCTTCGACGCTTCTCTGCCAAAATCTGAATATCACTCTCAGGAAAAGTGATTGCTAGAAGTCCTTTGTGCTGAGAGTATGATTTCGCTGATAGAGCAACGTTTGCTTTGTTAACAACCACATCAACAAACGATTTCCCACCCCACGGTAGAGGGTTTGGTTGCAGCGTCGCCGCGACAGAGTTCTCCTTACTCATCTGTTCAAGTCGTCGTGTTTGTTTGTTTATCAAATGTCCCCCTTAAATTTCAATTGTACACATTAGCGTCACTACATGCAACAACGTTAAATACACATGGACTCTAAAACTCCTAAGTCCACCAAGCCTTTTACAACAGGCATTACCCCGCCCCTCTCAAGCTCATACTACGTTATTTTACACTTAGAAAGTTTCTTAAAGTTCACAAGAGCGGGGCATTGATAAGTGGGGACTCAGGAAAAAGCTATGAGCAAAAATCACAAAGAATTGGAGCTCATCGCAAAACAGCAAGCTCATTAGTTATTAGTTTAAGTTTTCTATCAACCCTAGATCATGGTTGTGCAAAGTAAGAACTAACTTGTAGGAACAACAAATGAAATCTCATAAGCAATTATGGAGCACCAACCTTGGTTTCCCATCCTTTATACAGCGGGGCATCGCCTTCTTCTCCGGGAGTTGCTTCAAGGTGGATGTACTCTTTTTTCTCCATTATGATTTGTTCTCACATGCTTTTTTCCTTAATAGAGTTTATAATGAGGCACCCCTTGTTGCGGACATGGAAACAAGTGTCCGCATCGGGCGCGCCAACCTAGTTGAAGAACCACTCTCTGTCACCTCAAGCATGACTCTCGTCTCAGGGAGTGGGGGACTAGTGATGGAGTATATTACCATATACCCCAGTAGTATCAACATTTATGCTAAGGAATCTTCGGAATCCACCGAAACAACCTTGATCAAAGCTGAGCTGGCCGAGGTCTAACTCAAGACTAGTTCTCAGATCATCGAGATAAGTCCAAATTGCAACCAAGGATCAGGTCAACCCTCACCCACGATTGACGGCATTTCCAGCACTATGGTCGAGCCTTCAACTTCTACCATCACTCATCTAAATGTAATCAGAAGAATTATGGACACTCTTCAAGCGACCATCGTGCATTGCTACCGGGAGATCAACACAACTGCTCACCTTCTCGCCCAGGAGGGTCTTCAATCGGACAGACATTTGGTTTTTTCATCCTTCAGTGAGCTTTCCATTTTGTTGCCAGTCATTTGCGGCTTGACATCTCTTTGACTCCAACCATACGTTTTTAATTACTATCTTTTGTTATTATGTATTTGGCTTTTTATTTTTGGTTCTTCTAAATTGGGTCAGATCTAGCCCCCAATTTAGTTTCAATCTCATTTTCTCATTCATGTATTTTGAGAAGGGATACCTTCTCCAGTGAGGTTTTGGCTTGGCCCCCTCACTGATCGCAATCTCTATTTTATTTTAATAAAAACCAGCAAATGTTCCCCATCATTTGCCCCACCAATTGATGGTTTGACACCGAGACTTAAAAAGGGACTCCATGACTATGATTTTCTGAGTTCAGCACCGTATGCAACTCCATTAAAGAACATGATTACACAAACACTTTTTCCTACTCAAACTGCCATAACATTGATCACTAATTATTGAGATTGTAAGAAGATACTAGTATAAGATTGTAAGATAGGATAAGATTAGCAACAATGTTTGATGTACACACCCTTATACCCACCATGTTTGTAATTTTTTTGTTGTGAATTCGGTTCACAGACAAAATGTGTTATTTTGGCTGTGCAAATTTTGCACAAATAAAATATTGTCTGTGAATGAAAATTACAGATAAAAAAACCTTCACAGACATGAGTGAGATATAAAAGTGAGTATAATACAAACCCCATTTTTGTAAGATAACCTTTGGTTTATTAGGACTGTATTCATTCGACCAGATTAAGGCCCGGTAATGCATTAATCGGCCTCAAGAATTATCTTCTTGGGCAGTCCAAGATCTGAATTACCGGAATCCTTTGAGCTCCCCAGTCTATCCACACTCCACTGCCACACATCGACACGAGTAAACACTTGCTTGCTCGACAATCATGACGTTTTGGCTCTTTCAGTAACGAATAATATTTCCGAGAACCTTCCTGTACATATAACAAAATAGAGATATTAAAGCCATGGTGAGGATAATTCCAATGGCGTCGTCGATCCGGCCGTCGCTCTCATCGCTCAGGTTCTCTGGCAGCTCGCGCTTTGGCATCTCTCTCTTCTCCCAGAATCCTTGCCGTAGACTCGCTTCTCTACATCTTGGTGGCGGTACATGCTTTATCTCTTTAGTTGCTGTTTTTGAGCCATTTTTCTTTGAATTTTATTTATGATACCCATTTCCCAAACACTATATTCTCAGTTAGCAGGCAGCTGTCTTAATCGCAAGAGGGTGTATTCATGCTTAATTTGTAATTGAAATTGATATTTTGTCAAACCATTAGTACGGCACTTGATATTTTTACTATTCTTTTTGTATATCCATTAACTGTATGGGCATGTATATTAAAAATCTGCGTTTGATTATTTTTGAATGTATGAGTAAAACGAATAAGGAAGGCTCTTGTCAAAATGAAAAGTCTGGGGAGCTGCCTCTGACAAGGGAAGGCTGGCCTCCTATACACCATTGTTGCGGGATGCTTTCCCAGACCTTCACCTTGCCAGGAGGCCAATGTGCACCTGGCTGCCGGTTAAGGACATAGAATATATGCTCTTCGATGCATGAACTTAGTTACTTATTATATTTTACTTTATTTTTCCTTGCAATACTTGATCAGTGAAACTCTGAGTGTATTGCATAACCATGTTAAAAAGTGCATTCTTTTTGCACTTCCTGCAAGTGCATGAATTGCCATGAGTTGATGTTCCACACCTTTATCTTCACAAAACTTATCAAATTCTGCTGAAGTGTACCCCTTTCCTCTATCAAATATATTCACAAAAACTAAATTTAATATCTCCACCACTTTCTTACTGTCCATCACATACTAACAGTGGTATCAGAGCTTAACATCTTCAATTTGGAGTCACAATGGTTTTGAAAGAGCTATGAATTTGTTGAAGATTTGGAAGACTTCTAATCTCTCCATCATGAAATACACCCAAGTCATTTGAGTGAAGTCATCAATAAACAGATGAAGTATCTGTTTCTATGAAGAGATAGTGTTCTTTGAGGACAACATACATTTGTATGATTGTATGAATGAGCTTCAATTTCTTCTTTGCTCTCCATGTTTGCCCTTTTGGAAATGCTAGTTGGTGTTGCTTTCCAATTAACAAGGCTCACATTGTCCTTTAGTTACATGAATCGTCAGAAAATCCCACACACCGTTCTATTTTTTAGGTTAGCCAGTGCACACAAGTTCAACTGTCCATACCTTCTATGCCATAGCCTAGTGTCAATTATCTGAGCTCTATTTGAAGTCTCCTCTGAACAATTCCACTTCAATGAGATAATTTTGTTTTCCATACTTTCCTTATTCTTCCGGCAGTCAATGGTACAATGTTCATTCTCAAGAACAAGTGAATAACCATTTTTTTCCCATCTGAGCTACACTAAGTAGATTTTCAGCAAGATCTAGAACAAGAAGAACATCATTAATGAGCTTTGTACCTTGCTTCATAGCAACATCAATTGTGCCTTTGCCTTCAGACTTCACAATGTCACCATTTTCCATCCGAATAGGAGTCTGGACACATGATTTATACAATCACTATCGATTAACCATCTTCCTTTGTTGGTGGTTGTTATTTCTTGGCACACATAGAATAAATATTCATTGTTACTGCTACTTGAAAATGGGCCTGCGCCTCAGACTCCATTTGCTTCTGTCTACAATCCTTCTCAATATGACCAAACCTCTTGCAATGAAGACATTGAGGTTTACTCTTGAATTAGCAATACTTTTCAGCACGGTTTATCTTCCCGCACGTGCCATAAGGAGGATTTCCCCTCTGACTGCGGAGATAGTATTTTATAATTACCAACCATTATCCCCATTACCATTCTTCCACTAGTTGTTGCTTCTTCTAGAATCTGATGACTTAGATTTATGTTTTGATAGGAAAGCATCTTTGGAAGAAGTTTGTGACATTTTTTAAATTTCTGTTGGTGTGCCAGCGAAGAGCCTATCAACCTTGATACATTGAGTTGTGATATGTCCTTTGACTCCTCAATTACGGTAATAATGGTATCGATTTTTTTTGTTAAGGTTCCTAAATTTTTCTGCATAATTATTGCGCCAGAAACATCTTCTCCAAAAAAATTCATTTTAGTGACAACTTCTGTCAATCTGAAGGTGTAAGTCTTTATATTTTCATTCCCCCATCCTCAACTTCCTGAAATCCTTTCTTAAAGCATTGGGATGAATGGTCGTTATCTTCTCATCTCCATGAAATTCCTGGTTGAGTGAATTCCAAGCTTCTGAAGCACACATGTTACTGGAAAATGTGATCTCTGCAACAGATCTAAGAACATAAGACAAAGTTTTGGCATCTTTCAGTTCATCTTTACTTTTTCTTTTAACTCTGCTTCAGCGTACAGTGTACTTGATATCTTCAATATGACTATTGTTGTGGGGGACATTCTCCACTATGTTTGAAGTGCATTCACTCTGAAGAAAAACTTCATTATGATGCACCAATAGTCATAGTTTTCTTCTCTAAATATTGTAGGTGCTGACATAGAGATGTTGTTAATGTATTTGTTGTAGATCCCATTTTGGGATTGGTTGTCCATAAGCCCATTCAAGAAACCCCCAACTCAATCTAATATCTCTACCTCTTCTTTTACTGTCCAGCACATACTAACAAGTCAGTTCCTGTCTTGGCTCTTTATTTTGTTATTTTATAGTGATGATTGAAACAGCTTTTTCCAAATAATCTGAGATAGACCTCATTGATGGGGATTTCAGGAAAAAATTAGTATGCTTCAATGCTGTTCACTTACGCTGTATTATTGGTTATCCTTTAGCAGTTCCACAGTTGCAATCTTTTGGCTTTAAAGCTACTAATAACATGCATCGAGAAAAGGGTGGGAGTATGTCATTGAGTGCAGCTGGAAATATGACACGCACAAGCACTACTGCTACTAATGAAAATGTCTTAGATTGGGTTAAAAGAGACAAAAGAAGAATGCTTCACGTTGTTTACCGGGTTGGAGACTTAGACAGAACAATAAAGTAATGCCACTAATGCATAATCTGTACCACTATCTTTGCCTTTTCTTTCCTCCACTAGCATGTGATACTCTTGTATTCATGATCGTGTTATATCCTAATGTGACTGCAGGTTCTATACTGAGTGCCTAGGGATGAAGCTTTTAAGGAAACGTGACAATCCTGAGGAAAGATATACAAATGCCTTTCTTGGATATGGACCAGAGGATTCTCACTTTGTTATTGAGCTCACTTACAGTAAGCAGTGCCTACACCAGTTGCTTGAATTTGAATTTGCTTTATTCCTTGTATTACCCCTGTCTTTAATTACCTTCTTTTGGTCTTGAATGTTGCTTCCAGATTATGGGGTTGACAAATATGATATTGGATCTGGTTTTGGCCATTTTGGGATTGCTGTTGAGGATGTAAGTTTACATTTCAATATTTGCTACATTAATTTATGTACTATATTGTCATATACCTCTGTGCCCAAAGAAGTAGTCCGCTGAAGAGGCCAATGTTCTCAGATGAGGCCAAGGGTTAATCCAATCCTTGTTATATTCCAGCTAAGAAGTCCATGTACACTGGACCAAGCTAGACAGACGAGGTTGAGGGAACCAACTTCTGCCTCGGCCTCTTCGACTCTTCAGGTAGAGGCCGAGGGGACTTGCTTCGTCCTCCTCCTCTTTGATTCTTCAGGGCAAGGCTGAGGGCACTTGCTTCCGCCTCGACCTCATTGACTCTTCAGGACAAGGCCGAGGGAACTTGCTTCCTCCTCGGCCTCTTTGAATCTTCAGGCCGAGGCTGAGAGAGCTTGCTTCTGCCTCTGCCTCGGCCACCAATTCTATACTTGGCCGAAATCCAGCACCCAGCGACACACCGCAGGGTTGTCATCACAATACCTCCTGTTGACATCACGGATTGCAGGGCTGATGCCATTATATTCATAACATGCGTCATGCGTCATGCTGATGTAAGCATGCCAGATGTGATGAGTATAATGATGTCAACCTTGAAATCTGTGCCTGGTGATGCCTAAAAATGTATTATGACGTCAGCCTGCAGCGTACCACTGGAATGCAGGATTTTGGCCAAATATATAATCGATGGCCGTCTGGTTAATGTGGAAGCAGGTTCCCTTGACCTCATCCTGAAGAGTCATAGATTGAGACAAAAGCTGGTTCTTCCAGCCTTGTCTGTCTAGCTCAAGTGCTCAACCCAGTGTACATCAATTTCTTAGGTTGATTATACCAATGGTTGGATTCACCCTTGGCCTTGTCAGTTGGGCCAATCTGCACATGGCTTTTTCAGGCCTTGAGGTGTATGACAATATACTCAGATTAAAAGAGATTTAAGTTGACTATATGATCAGGGTAAAAGAACCTTAAACTGGGTTGAAAGAGTAGTTCACTTTCCAAAACTTTATTTGAAGTGGCCTAAAAAGGAAAGTAAGATATGTAATGAGGGACAAAGGGAACATATTGACATGGAAAATTTGACTTGTGTGTCCCCTCTTCCGGGGTTGAATACTTGAATGTGGTGATTTGGGGGTATGCAGTGTTCATATTTTTTTACTCACTCATTACCAAGCACTATTCAGACATCCAAAAATATGTATTTGTCCTGCTGCTAAACAACTGTTCTTCCATGATCCTGATGTGATTCAATCACTTATGCAACTTTGAGGTTGCTTTTTCTTTTAAAGCTGTATATCTTACTTCTTCGTTACGGGCATTCACTTTATTCTGAATGCCTTATTTAACTTCCTTTTTATGAGATACATTTTAATGTGAAATCTTAATTCTTAATACATTTTCAAATGATTATTGGCATGAGTAGGTTACAAAGACAGTGGATCTCATAAAGGCTAAAGGCGGAAAAGTAACCAGGGAGCCTGGTCCCGTCAAAGGTGGAAGCACAGTAATTGCTTTTATTGAGGACCCTGATGGTTACAAATTTGAACTTTTGGAGAGGGGCCCTACGCCTGAGCCCATGTGTCAAGTAATGCTTCGAGTTGGAGATCTTGATCATGCCATAAATTTTTATGAGAAGGTATAATTTATCAGATAATATGAGAACACTTTCTTGATTCATGGTCTTTCATAAGTTTTCTCTCTGTACATTCTAATTGCCCCTCATTAATCTTTAGGCATTTGGCATGGAGCTTCTTCGCACACGTGACAATCCTGAATACAAGGTATGCCATTTCTTCATTTGAATATTGACTGATTTGACTCGAGAAATTAGTAGCCCAAGGATATATGTGTGGAATATAGAAATATAGAAATATATTTAAATGGCTTGCATTTGTTCGTTCTTTTTATCTATGTTAGTATTTTAGATTGTTTCCATCCTGATCCAGAATTATCTTCAGGCTATCCTTGGTTGCAGCTATATTTTCTGGCAAATGCTTCTGCGCGCACACAAAAACGTTTTTTTGTTGAAATCTTAAATGTACTCAATAATTGGGAGTTTGAACTGAGGGCAGCATTCCTATTGGGGCTCAACTGTTGAGGCACCAAATTGAAATCCTCCTACACGGAGGATTTCAATTGTGGATCAAATTCGACTGTTCGAGTCCACACTCTAAATGTTGAGTTTGAGTCAATACTCTCTATTGGTTGAGCTCTTTCTGAGTTAGTCAAAGCTGTAGATTCACAATATCCAATTCTGGTTAATAAATATTTTATTTAATTTTTAAATCATCAATTTCTTTTATCTATTAATGTATTAATTTATAGTTTTGAAATTGTACTTTAACATTAAGTAAAATAAAAACTTATTACTATCAAAAGTATGCTTTAAGTGTAGAAGGAAATATATGGCAAAAAATGTGGGTCCTCTAAAATGAAATTTTGGGCTCCAAAAGAGTGCCTCATGGATGGTAATGTATGAGGGGGTGGTTTCATATGATGGGGGAACAAATGTAGCAGATGAGTCACATTTGAACCATTTTTTATTCGTGTCGGCTTCATGATTCATGAATACGTATGCCCTAATTCAATTGGATATTCAAGTTAAGTGCCATTTTGACTATTGAACCCCAGCTACCTTAAAAGTTAAAACAATAATATTAAATACAACATTACCCCAGTGCCGCAAAGGCTCCTACCTACGGTGGGGTAAGGGGGGGTCGGATGTATGCACTCTTACTCTTGTCCTAAAGCACAAAGAATGTTTCCGGATGACCCATGGCGTGGCATTCATCCATCCTGTTTGGTTTTCCTTTAATATTAGAGAGAATGAAATTAAACCATTTGGGGAGGGGGGGGGGGGGGTCATCATTGATCAGATCTTCCTTTTTTTGCATTCACCAAAACTTGAATTCTTCACCTCACTTTGCCACCCCATGCTTTTCATTCTTTTTTGCCTCTTCAGCCTACCATTGCCACCAACAAGTTCACCGACATTTGACCTTTTTCTGTCCTTACCTAGCCTACAGTCCAATGGCATGCCCATTGTTCTCCGAGTCATCAAAGTAGGGAAATGCCACGAGAGATCAATAACTTCATCTATTCTTTCATGGCATAACTGCATTCCATGCACACTTTTACCAACAAACAGCCTATTAGTTTTGTTCCTGTTCTCAAGTCAAGTCCATAAACAAATTGATAGTTAACATTTGAAGGCATGAATAAATCCAAGCCAGCTTTGGATGACAATTTATTAAAATTGGAGTGTGTAAACAGTGTTCTTTTTTTCCATTGCACTATTCTTAATCAACCTGTTAAAAAATTAGTAGTTTGGACGTCCGACACATTTCTACATAGTTGTTGCTAAATTCCATATTACATCCCTTTTAATCATAATTACAATTTAGAGCCAGGCAAGACTCAATTTAATCCCAAAATAAGATTTCAATTTATTTTGTTGTCATGATTTTCTTGTTTGAGTCTTTTAGTATTCATCTATGCAGTATACCATTGCAATGATGGGCTATGGCCCTGAAGATAAGAACGCAGTTATGGAGTTGACTTATAATTATGGTGTTACTGAATATGACAAGGGGAATGCTTATGCACAGGTAAAACTTCCATAAAACTCAAAAATATTAATTTTGTGATGCATGCTATATTGATGAGGTAGAGGATTGATGAGAGTGATAGCTCATTGATTTGCTTGATTGATTTGATTTTGATATGATTGTAAAACCTTAATTAGCTTATACTCCCTCCGTCTCATTTTGCACCTGTCCTTCTTTCCTTTTCGGGTTGTCCCAAAATAAGTGTCACATTTCCTCTTTTGGAAAGAAATATGTGATCTACAACATTTAACTTTATTATACTCAAATCTCAACCACAACTTTTGCTATGTCAACCATTTCATTAATAATTGTGCCAAGTCAAAGTGAGACACATAAAATGGGACGAAGGTAGTATATTTCAGGAAATCATTTTCTCAGGATTTCCCTTTCCTTGTTCTAGTCGTTCATAAATTCATATGCTTGTAATCCCCATTTTTAGAGGGAGCTTTGCTATGCTAATAAAATATCCAAGAAAGAATTAAAAAGCAATTCCTTTGGAAGAATTCAAAGAGCAACAACACCACCATCCAAGAAATCAAGGAGCAAGATAGCTCCCCAAATTACAAAATTCCACGACTGTCTCATTTATCCTTTTAATTCATTCCCGTGATGGAAAGAATCCCGTTACTTAACCTTATGGTTCCGTTGCCAGTGTAATGGGAATCCCATGATTCCTGCTGATCAGTATGCACTATGCACTTCACATAGTGCAAAATGCGGTGCAGAAGGTGCAATTATTGGAGGAGTCTGTTGACACTCTCTAATCAGCTTGACCACTTTTTGTTAGAGACTCTACTAAACCGAGGAGAGAAAATAAATACTTTGGCAGAGTATATTCTAGAAGGAAGTAGAGTTAGCTATTAGTTAAAGTTGTTGTTAGCTAATAACTGTTTTCGGTTAGTAAGAGTTACATACTTACTATAAATAGTAGTAAGCTGGATATTGTGAGTAGGCTGTTCTTGAGTACTACCTCCGTCCCTGAAAACTTTGCCAAAGTTGACCGGCATGGAGAATACTAAAGTAAAAACTGCGTGGTTGAGGTTTGTGCAGAGGAGAGGGAAATAACATAAACCACAAAATAATTGATTAAAAGGGAAAGTGACAAAGTTTTTTGGGACGCCCCAAAAATGAAAGATGGCAAAGTTTTAAGGGACGGATGGAGTATTAGTCATTTCTGGGAAGATCAGAGTTGTATCTCTATCTTTTGGGGGCTTCGGCCATTGTTGCCTTGTGAATAAAAGTTTGTGCAGTTGAGTTCTTGTGATAATTTCTGTGAGGTAATTGTAGAATTTGCCGAGTTCTAACATTGGTATCAGAGAACTGGAGACGGAGAATCGAAATCATGGAGGATTTCTACATGACATCGCAAATGGCAAAAAGAATGGACAATCTGAATCGAGAGATGGAGGAGATGAACGCTAGGTTGGAAAGTTTCTTGCGTGAATGTGAGCGTCCAACACAGCGCTTCCACCGATCGAAGAACACAGGGCATCATCGGCAATCTGACAAACAGAGTTCGTCGCTCACCTGTTCGCAGAAAAAATCGCGAACTGTTTCTTTTGTTTCGCACTCACGAAAGGCGTCGCACGGAAAAATGGGGAAGATCGCGGAAAAGGTGGAGCACGGAAAAATAGCGAAGGAGAAGCATACGAAGGGCAAAGAAAAGGTAGAAAGGGATGGGGCGATGGAAAGGAGGACCGGATTGGATGAGTTGCGCACCATGCTGCGGCCACAACCTCGTCGGTGAGGAAGATCGAGGAAGGTACGTCGCTGCATAAATTCGAGAAGCCAAGGTTCATTGCAGTTGCCAAATTCTTCTGGTCCTCTGGCTTCGACTATAGCAGAAAACCCCAGTTCGAACTCTCTAACTGAGTTCACAGAATCGCAGCAGGAGTTGGTTAATCAGCAGCAACAGTCCACGGAAGATTCACACACCTATAGCGAAGAGGAATGCAATAAGAAATCTTTAGTTAATATTGGACATGAAGCTGGAGCAATTACTCGTTTTCTCAAGTACGAGCCCATCAAGATTTTCCAGGATCTCATTTCGGGTCTCTTCACAGATGCTTTAACAGAAGTTAAAAAGGTTTGGGGGCTGTCAACAGTTGGTATTATTGTGCTAGATGGAGGTGTAGGTCGTGACATGCCGTCTCATATGGCAATTGCTGGTACGGAGAGCAAGATTTTCTGGAGAGGTTAGCATTGGAAAAGGTGTAACATGGTTCACAAAATTACTAATAGAAGAATGATGGAGAAGTATGTTATTGATGCTGACAGTCAGGACCAAGAAATTAGGGGTGAAGGTGTTGTGTCATTCCAGGGTGCCTTAGCAAAACAGTTGGGGAAGAATGATCCACCGATTAGTGCAAGTGAAGGTTCAATGTTCACTCTCTCATATGTTAAACCTAGGATAGCAGTTAAGGGGGGCAGTTTGATACTTCATGCAAATTGGGACTCCTCTAATTATGGACTGAAATGGGCTGATGAGTTTACTCTTGAATACCAATTTTATAAAATCAGTGTGGTCCTGGATCCTACTATTCAGGCTACTGTTAATGGAGTGGAAGCTGAAGCAAATTTCCAACCTTACAAAACGGTCTTAGGATCCAATGATTCAGAAGTGAACTGTTCCACTAGTGTTCGTTTAATGGAAACCAAGATAGGTGAAGATGTTGGAAATATAGAAGTGGAACCATATTTGCTGGAAAGAGTAGTTATGGCTTCTTTCTCTTCGCTTGGGCTAATAAAATTGGATGCAAACCCAGTCTGGGCAAAGAGGTTTCAGAAATTCTTCTCTAATGGGATGATGGGAAAACTGTTTACATGCGCATCAAGAATTCATTCCTCTGTTTCTGTTGTGGAAGATCTAAAGAAAATAGACTCCATGACTAATTCCTTGAGTGCTGCTATTGGTAAAGAATCTGGTCAAATTCACTTTTACAGGCTGAGCTCTATCCCTGAGAAAACAAGATTACACTTGATCAAGGGACCCAACATTGAAGTTTTTCTTTTCCCAAGTGGTGCTGGGTATCAATGTGCAGCTCTCTTTTTGCTTGTCAATGCCCCAGTATACATCCGACAGTACATGGCATCGGGATTCAAATTGGTTGTGGGGTTTGTAAGCTGCGAGGCATCTTTGGGTGTTCATCAAAATACTGTGAACCCGGAAGATGGAACTTCATATGAAATTGGGGAAGAACTTGCTCTGTGTTTAACCAGACATGGTTGCTCTGTGTTTAACCAGACATGGACACAGTATTTTCATGAATATCAGTACTGGCAGTGTGATCAATTCGCAGCCAATACATCCAGAGAAGGATATTGAAGGGAAGGGTCAAACACCACCACCTGATTATGAGGAACAAAACAATTACAGAGATCCAAATCATCCAAATCATCAGTGCATTCTTCAGGCAGTGAAGTTCATGCTCCTGCAATTAGTTATGTATTGGGAAGGAAGAGGCGTAAGGATGAAGAGGAAACACAAGATCTTAGCTGTCTCCTACCACCCACCTTGAGGGCAAGGTGGATGTTTAGGGAGGGAGTATTGTTAGAGACACTACTAAACCGAGGAGAGAAAATAAATACTTTGGCAAAGTATATTCTAGAAGGAAGTAGAGTTAGTTATTAGTTAAAGTTGTTGTTAGCTAATAACTGTTTTCGGTTAGTAGTAAGCTGTTCTTGACTATTAGTCATTTCTGGGAAGATCTGAGTTGTATGTCTATGTTTTGGGGGCTTCGGCCATTGTTGCCTTGTGAATAAAAGTTTGTGCAGTTGAGTTCTTGTGATAATTTCTGTGAAGTAATTGTAGAATTTGCAGAGTTCTAACACTTTTCCCAATTGGTGGGAACCTTGGCAGCCGTAGAATCACCTCCATCAGTAGACACCTCATCCGACAATCCCTCCTCAACCAATGCAACTCATAGTGCCAATGTTGTCTGTGACACCTACAATGCAGACTGTCCCGCTTGAAAAACACTTCAAAACAATTAAACAACCTACTTTGACTTTCCAGATCCATTCAGGTTCACCAAAAATGTCCTAGTTTAGTGTTTTCTCTCAAGAGAATTTCTGATGGATTACGCTCACCTTCGCTCTAGTTCACCTCTAGAACAAAGTTTCAATCTCCTAAAAAGAACACTGCCACTTTTTATGGGTGCAATCATTCAGCGCTGGGTTCAATTTTCAAGCAGCAGCACAAGCTTGATTTTCAGGAGGGGTGTAATGATGCATGCTATATTGTAAGAATATGGAAAGATAAAAGATCACGTAGAGATTGAGGAGAGACATCTCATTGATTTGTTTGAGAATATGATGGAATAAAGGAAAATGACTCACTAAACTGTCTGCACTTCTTTGTTATGAAGCAAAATTCAGTCCATGCAATTTTCAACGCGATTTTCATCATGGGTCATCCGGAAACAGTCTCTCTGTGCTTTAGTACAGGGGTAAGGTTGTGTACATCCGACCCCCCTACCCCACCGTAGGCACTGGGGTAATGTTGTTGTATGATTTTAAAACCTTAATCGGCTTATCTATTTTAAGAAGTCCTTTTTTAGGATTTCCTTTTCCTTGTTTTAGTTGTTCATATGCATGTAGTCCCTGTTATCAAAAGGAACCTTTGCTATGATCATAAAAATATCTAAGAAAGAATTAAGCATAAACTAATGTGAAGGAAAACTTCCAAATTCCAAGGGAGAAAGAAAACTCCCTAAAATTCCATGACCTTCCCGCTTATCCTTTTAATTCGCTCCCGTCCCGTGATGCCATAAATCCCTGTACATGATATTTTGTCTTCTAATGATGTACTAAACATTAATAGAAGCTAACTTTATTATGTGTTTCTTAACAGATTGCAATAGGCACAGATGATGTTTATAAAACAGCAGAAGCAATAATTCTCTGTGGGGGAAAGGTTACCAGGGAACCAGGACCGCTACCCGGCATCAATACTAAGATTGTAGCTTGTGTTGATCCTGATGGCTGGAAGACGGTATGCACTCTCCCTTTGATTGTGTGTTGTTATGCCTTATTATTTATTCAAACTAATTGCATTTAATATCTCATTTTTCAAGCCGTACAAGATCTTATAAACCAGCAAATTGTGATTTTTTAGTGTGGGTGGGGGTTCGGGGTTTTTAATATTTCCACTACTTTGATCAGTATAGTGGATGCGGGTCTGTTTGCATCACAATAAACTAAATTAATATTCAGGGGTTTTAAATGAGCTTTAGTTGAAGAATTGCATTAAATTTAGCTTTACGGATTAATGCGATATTGCAGGTTTTTGTTGATAATGTCGATTTTACCAAGGAATTGGAGTAAAGCAATGAGGGACTCGGTCATAACTCAAATGTAGACCTTCGTGCCATCACCAATCATTCTGCTTTATGGGGATCGACTATAGAAAATTGTAACATCTAACATTGTAGATGCATTAGTCGTTTTGTAAGCTAAAACTACATTGCAGCTTAACTTTCTTATACATCATACAACATAAGTTGAAAACTAGAACATCACTTCTTAAATTGTCCACACTGTAGTATACCGGCAGTAAACTGCATAGTGATTTTTTAATCCCATATTTTATTTGTGATGATAATGTTGATTTAGATAGGTAACTGCACATTTCAAGTGGTGAAACGTTCTAAGCATTAGCCTAGGGATGAACTGGGCCAGGCCAGGTTGGGCGGGCTTCGGGAGTCGGGACTAAGGAGTTGAGGCCCGTTACCAGCCCGGGTATGCTTTGGGACCAGGATCAGGCTGGACCCAAAAAGTACTGGCCCGTGTTGGTATCACCCATTTATTTATTTTTAAATAATGCATTTGGGCCCGTCTGGTCCCAAAAAATCGAGCCCGAAGCCCACCCCTTATAACTACTGGTCTGGGACTAAACAATAACGGCTTAGGCCGGGCCTAAACAGTGCTGGGCTGGGCCTAAATAGTGCTAGGCCGGGTCGGTCTGGCCCAATCCATCCCCACATTAGCCTCGTACAAATGTTTGATTGAATGTATGTCATTATAAATTGGAATGCAGAATAATAATGTATAGGAAAGAGCAAAAAATGTTTTTCAATTTGGGCATTTTCTTTTCAAAATTGAGATGTGAGCAGGGATGGAGTTAGGTCACTCGGTTATTACGATGAATGTTTTTGGAAATTTTTATCTTAAAATTTAAGAAATTTTTTAAATTTGGGATGAGTCGGGGTCTAGGTTGACCTTCCATAGACTTGTCTCCGGATGTGACACCTTTAGCAAAATAACGGGTTCTTGGGAAATACTCCCTCTGGTTCACAATCATCTTTACACTTTCTTTTTTTGTCAGTACCACAATAAACTTTACACTTCTTATTATTCCCATAATTTTGGTTGAAATGCCATAAATATCCCTCCCTCATAATACTCCTATTATTACCCACCCACCCAACTGTCCCATTAAACCCCCACAACCCTACTTTCTTCGTTCGTATGTATCCATCCTTTGACCTTCTTTCTTCTCTCATCCTCCCACCCCATATCTCGCTCATCTTCGTCCTCTCCACCATACTCTTCATCGCACCCCATCTCCTTACATAGTTGCCCCTTTCTGATCTGTGTTCGTCTCCAGTTTAATGGATGATAAAACAACCTCTACGCACACCGGCAGTCTTGAACTGGGAGATGCAGTGGATGTGAACTCGTCGATTGAGTACTCCGACCTCCCCCGATCTGAACAACATCTTTCAGATTCGAAAAGTGTGAAGTCCATTCAAATTTCGGATCTGAAAAAGGCAAGTTTCCCACGAATTACCCTTAATTTTACTCCTACTACTTTTAAAAAAACTAATCTTCAACATGCAATGTCTTTTGCAGCCTTGGGTAAACCCAATCATCGTTCGGTTCAGTGATTGTTCCATTGAAATAGACCCGGGATGGAGGTTGAGGAAAAAGTACGGGGACAACCTAGTGAGTGACACGTTCGAAGGGCTGGATGGAATGGAGGAAGAAGGGGATGAGGCTACCTCCAGATATTTTGATGGTGAGGAGGCATATGGGGTTGGTGATTCCGCTGATGAAGTATTTGCAGACACTCCTCCTTATACAAAGGGTTGATTCTACGGGTCTCTCTACTATCCTTGTTTTTTGACATAAGTGATGAGTACTTGCATGTTTGTTTCCTAAGGTGTGTATGATGTGAAAACTAAGGATGAGTTAGGGGTACCGATTATCAAAATGTTGCTTGGGAAAAATGATGACTCAATGTTTGTTGTTTGATTGAGTCTGAAACTGTGTGCTGCCTATTGCTTCTGTGATATTCTCTATGCCTAAACTGTTAGTGTGCATTGCATCAGTGTGTGCCTCAAATGTGATTAAATACTTATGCAGCCCACTTATGAATGTGTAGGAGGCCTACTTTGTAAATCATGTTTGACATTGACTTGTTTACAATAATTAGTGTACAACTATGATCTAAGAAGTTCATAAAAAAGGTACTTTCAACAGTCTGAAGTACATACAAAAAATTGTACACCTAGTTGCTTAATCATCCTTGTGTACATACAAAAAGTAGCAAAAAACCTGTACTATCTTTTTTAAAAAGACAGTTGAGAGATGAAGATCTTGATAATCTTCATCTATGAACTCTGTCCCTGCCACAACACTGCTTGTAACTGTTGTGTTTGTTGTCATGTGCCCCTCCATGTGTGCTTTACCTGTGTTATACGCTTCCTCATCAATGTGGACATTCTTGGGTAATTTACCTTGCCTTTCCAATCTGTCCTTCCCAACATGTTTTAGTTTGAAATTGTTTCCCCCATTGTGCTTAAGAATTTCCTCCATTACATATTGGAAGCTTAAGAATACCTTGTTTAAGCTGTGAGCTGTGAGATCATTGAATGCACTTTGTACTGATTCTATCAACTCATTGATAGTCTTAGGTGCTTTCTGATCTTTCAGAAAAAATCGCCCTAAAAAACCTAAATCCAACACATTCAAATCTGGGCTTTTGGGTGGTTGGCAACGCAACTCAATGTTCCATCCATCTTCTGTCCCACTTTTAACAAACTCTGGATCACTTATGTCTAAATGAGGCCTAGCATTGTCTTGTTGTATAATGACATGTTTGTTTTCTGCATCTGGCCACTTCTCTTTAATTGCTGGCAGAATTTGTGTTAACATCATGTCTTTTATAACTGGTCTAGTGACACTCAATGTTGCCTTTGTCTCTACGGTCCCAGCTGGCCTATTCTTGCTTGTTCTCTTTGCTTTATCTTCATAGATAAAAGGAAAAATCCCTATTTTACCATCCCATAATACATCCCTCAGGTTGCCTATTCTAGGCCTTCCTACTGCAGCAATAAACATCACTTTTGGTATGAATTTTTTGATTGAGTTGTTCTGTAAGGGTCCTCTTCTGTTGGGAAGGTATAAAATGTTGTGGTTTCTTTTGATAAGTAGAACCACTTCCCATCTATGTGTACATGATCATAAAAATCATGAAAAGTTGGGGAAAGGGGAAGTGAGCTAGGAATAATATGGCTTAGGTAGAACTGTAACCTTTTCAACATTCTCTTATCTGTGAGAAGAGATTTAAAGGCATTAGAATGTCTTTTAATTTGTTTGCTCTTGAACCATGTCTGCACAGTTGACTTTGACACTTGCATTGAAAATGCCAAAGACCTCATATTTTTCCTTTTATGATATGTAATTTCAGACATTTTTGACAAGTCAAATGTAATTATTTTTGGTCCTACATTACCTTTCAATTTGCTCTGCACATCTATGGGTTGCCCAGCCTGCATTTGTGCCTTTGCTTTGCCCCACAGTGTGTGTACAGTTTGTCTTGAAGTGTTGAACTAATTTGCTACATTTGTGATCATGCCCCTCTGAAGTTTTCCATCTGCAGCCTTTGCTAACAATATGTCTATTATTCTTCTTCGCTTATCACTTGTAAGCTTTGCCACGTGTTTTGGCAGCCTTTGTGTGTTATCCGTGTGACTTTCTGGTGATAATTCATCTGCAGGTACATGTGGAACTGGCAGCTCCATATCCTCTTCCTCAACTTCGGTGTTAGGCTCAAAGGGAGGCATATCTGCTAAAGTACTTGCAGCAGAGGGAGATTCGGGAGGCATATTAGGAAGCTCAGAGACAAAAGAGGAAAACTGAGTTGTCTTAGTTTCCATTTTTTGGGAGTAATTCATGTGTACTTGGGGGGAGTAAATGAGGGGTATATATAGGCTAGAAGTAATTTTGGGTGGGAAAGGTTTCTATTTTTACTTTTGGAGGGAAGCTGAAAAATCAAACCCTTTACTATATTGTTTTGTACAAAATCTGTATTGTTTTTTTGTAGAGGGGTACAAATTACCCTCTCTCTCCTCTTGTCTGTTGTCAACAAATATTAATGTCAAGGTACTCCTTTTATTTACTGATTTTACCCTCTACACTTTAAACTTTACCTTTACTTTTGCAACCAAGGGTAAAAATGGAAAGTCAACTACACACATTTTTCCACCTTAAAAATAGAGAAGTCAAACTCTAAAGATCATTGTGAACCGGAGGGAGTATTGTTTGTTGTGTGAGTTGGGCCATGTGCGTCAATGTTCGGACAGAGGCACTATCAAATGAATGCATGACGTACCTCCCCACACATTTGAGTAGCCGACTATAATACTACTTTGAGCAATTGGCCTAAGGATCATGTTTTGGTAGAGGGAAAGAACCATGGTCAGAGAGCATGAGCCAAGCACACTCTTAACTTAAGTTCTTGTCGGGGGGCTATCTCATCTGGTGAGAGGGGTGGCATAAGAGAAAGATTCCAGGTTCAACTTGAATCAAAGATTTGGGTTGGAACTTATTCTCTTTCATATAACTGTCCGGTCGATATTGGGGACTCTCACGGATGCAAGGTGTCTAACTATTTTTTTCACTTAACCTAAATTCTTAGGATGTTTTTCTTGGACTGTTTTCAATTCATATCAGATCGGACCAAATCACATCAAACCGGACCAGACCAGACTTGGATAGTTAAAATACACAGAGACCGGACATTTACCAGACCAGATCAGATTAGATCACGCCAGACCAGCAAATTTCAGTCTAAGTAAAAACATCTTTATGGAAATCTGAGCGTGAGTATCGTTTCCTCTTCATAAATGCAAGTGTGTTCATATTGTTGTTAACCTTTTGTATTTCCATATTATATTGGAGTAGTGTTCATTGCCATCCTAACAGTTTGAGAATAAGTTCTTATCCTTGGGCCATTTGTGGGACTGAGCCACAAGTCAAGGCGTCAAAGTTGTTAAGTAAAACTATATTTACTTATCGAAATCACCATATTTATTTCACATTGCTTGAGATAACATTTAGAGGTTGGAATGCCCATTTCCAAGGCTGAGATAGAAATCTGACCACATGTCAAATCCATGCATCTTCATCATTTATGAAATTCAAGAGTTTAAATAGCGGTTGTATGATCTCGAAATGGGGAAAGCAATTCGAAACAGAGATATGATATTTCATAAAAGCTAGTTTCATGAGTTTGCTTCAATATATCCCAAACAACGTACCTCAAAAGCTCCAGAAGACTTTCTTGTGTCATCACACGTTCTCCTCAACAATGAGCAAATGAATGATAATGTTGAACAAGAAAATGAAGAGCCCATAGATATTGGTGATGCTCAAGATGAAGAAATTTATGTGCTCAAGATAAAATTCATGTGGAGTACTGAAAATGTTCAAGTTCAACATTCTACATTCCATAAAGAAGATACTCGACATCTGAATGGGTCCTTAACAATTAGGGGAGCCAGAGAGTTCTCGAGAAGCTCAAACTCATCAAGAAAAATCGAATTGGTGGATAGTTATGGAAGATGATATGAAAGCCTTACAGAAGAACCAAAGCTATGACTTGGTCTAACTTCCCAAAGGAAATAAAGCCTTGAAAAACAAATGAGTTTCAAGCTGAAGAAAGATGTCAATAGGTTTATTGTGAAACACAAGGCAAGACTCGTGGTGAAAGGATTTTTTCGTCGGTTGTGAAAATGATGTCGATTCGACTTGTGTTCTGGTTGGTTGCAAGTCTCAATCTTGAACTTGAACATATGGATATGGAAATAGCATTTCTCCAAGGTGATAAGGAAGAAATATACATGGAGTAGCTCGAGGGTTACCACGTTCCAAAGAAAGAGCATATCATCTGCAAGTTAAATAAAGAGCAAATTAGAGAGAGGGTGATTCTCACCCTCCGAAAGTACAAGATTCTGTTCGCTCGGGGCCCGGAGGACATGCCGGGGATAGACCCGGAGATTATTTGCCACAGATTGGCCGTTTAGCCTGATGCGAAGCCGATACAGTAGAAGAAGTGATACATGGCTGCCGAACGGCGTGATTTCATCAAGGTGGAGGTCACGACGCTGCTCAACATCCACCACATCCGCCCGGTCATCCACGTGGAGTGGTTGTCAAACGTCGTTCTGGCACCGAAAGGTCCCACCTTGCGGATGTGTGTTGACTACTCAGACCTGAACAAAGCCTGCCCTATGGATCCCTATCTTGTACAACGGCTTGATCTGCTGCACTGCATGCACCGAGGAAAAATCCCTGAAAAAAATGATTTTGACGATTGGTGGGAAATGTACACCGATGGGGCCTCTAGTGCGCGAGGATGTAGTGGGGGAGCCATCATCACCTCCCCGGAGGGCTTCAAGGCCTACTACTCGATGAAATTTGATTTCAAGGTCACCAAAACAAAGCGGTGTATGAAGCGCTCATCGTTAGTCTGAGATGTGCAAAGGCGCTTGAGGCCACTCATCTTAAGGATAAGATGGATAACCAGCTCGTAGTAACCCAGACGAACGGCATAATTGAGACTCGGGAAGAGCGGATGAAGGTTTACAAAGAATTGGCAGAGGAGCAGACCGCTCTGTTCGAGCAGGTGATCATCGACCAGGTGTCCCGCGTGGAGAACAACGAGGCTGTCATCTTGTCTAAACTAGGGAATCCCCCACCCGAAGACCAGATGACGGCCATCCTGGAATATATCAGGAGGTTCGCCCGACAGGAGCTACCACTCTGCCCGGCAATGGAAACCACCCATGTGGAAGACATCTCTTTTGCTGAGCCGAGCTGGATGAGTGAGATTGGTGAATATCTCAAAGACGGGACCCTTCCCGAAGCACTAGGGCAGGGGGGGGGGGGGCACCGGGAAGGCTGCATGGATCAAAAGACGTGCCCCGAATTTTGAACTCATAGATGGACAGCTGTACATTTCCATCATTTGCAATGGAGCCAAAGATTCATTATTTTTTGGCTTGAGATTATGATGGAATAAAGCAAAATGGCTCACTAAACCGTCTGCGCTTCTTTGTTATGGAGCAGCAGTCAGTCCATGCAATTTTGGACGCGATTTTCACTATGGGTCATCCGGAAACAGTCTCTCTGTGCTTTAGTACAGGGGTAAGACTGCGTACATCCGACCCCCTTACCCCACCATAGATGGGAGCCTTTGCGGCACTGGGGTAAATGCAAATGATGAATGATGAGATGGACAGCTGTACAAGAAGACGTTCGATGGCCCATATCTCATGTGCTTACCGCCGAGCTTGGTCACGGCGGTGATGGAGGAAATCAACGAAGAGATTCATTCAAGCCATCAGGGCGGATGCTGGCAAGAAAAATCATTCTCCAAGGCTACTACTGGCCGATGATCCAACAAGATTGTTTCAATCACACCCATAAGTGTGCGATATGCCAGTAGTACGCCCCGGTCCCAGGACGCCCGCCTAGTTTCTACTCCCCAATGACCATAACATTGCCATTTTCCAGATGGGGGATCGACCTACTTGGGCCGTTGTCTCTGAAGACCAGAGGACGAAGGTTCATAATCGTGGCCATGAATTACTTCACAAAGTGGGTGGAAGCTGAGCCATTGGCGACGATCACTGAGTATCAGTGCCAGCGTTTCGTCTATCAGAACATTTTGTGTCGCTTCGGAATCCCATAGAAGATCATCATAGACAACGACCGACAGTTCATCGGCAAGGGTTTCGAAGGGTTCCTGGCAAAATGGGGTATCAGGCATTCTAAGGCCTCAGTGGCGTACCCCCAAGCCAACGGCCAGGTGGAAAGCATGAATCGGACCATCATGCGGGGGTCAGGGGACAGAACTCCCGAAACTTGGGGGCTCCGGATCCGGTCGTCAACTGTGGGCGAGGAGTGGTCCAGTCCTTGACCGAATCACCAATTGCCCTATGCAGTTCGGCCTAGTGGGACGAGCGGAGGAGTTGCTGACTAGGTCTTTGGACGAAAACTTGGGGGCTCCGGATCCGGTCGTTGACCGTGGACGAGGAGTGGTCCAGTCCTTGAACAAATCACCAAGTGCACAATGCAGCACGGCCTCGTGGGCCGAGCTAAGGACTTGGTGACTAGGTCGTTGAACGAAAACTTGGGGGCTCCGGATCTGGTCATCGATCGTGGACGGGGAGTGGTCTAGACCTTGAACAAATCACTAAGTGCTCGATGCATTTCGACACCGTGGGTCGAGCTGAGGACTTACTGACTAGGTCGTTGGACGAAAACTTGAAGGCTCGGGATCCGGTCGTTGACCCGTGGGCCGAGCTAAGGACTTGTTGACTAGATCTTTTAACAAAAACTTGAGGGCTCTGGGTCTGGTCGTCGACCATGGACGAGGAGTGATGCAGTATGTCCTTGAACGAATCACCAAGTGCACATTGCAGTTCGACCCCGTGGGGCGAGCTGAGAACATGCGGACTAGGTCGTTGGACGAAAACTTGGAGGCTCCGGATCCGGTCGTCGACTGTGGACGAGGAGTGGTCCAATCCTTGATCGAATCACCAAGTGCCCAATGCAGTTTCGGTCTCGTGGGCTGATCTAAGGACTAGCTGATTAGGTCGTTTGACGAAAACTTGGAGGCTCTGAATCCGGTCGTCGACCGTGGACGAGGAGTGGTCCAATCCTTGATCGAATCACAAAGTTCCCGATGCAGTTAGGCTCCGTGGGCTGAGCTGAGGACTTGCTCACTAGGTCTTTGGACGAAAACTTAGGGGCTCCGGATTCGGTCGTCGACCGTGGATGAGGAGTGGTCCAGTCCTTGATCGAATCGCCAAGTGCCCGATGCAGATCGGCCCCGTGGGCTGAGTTGAGGACTTGCTGACTAGGTAATTGGACGAAAACTTGGGGGATCCGGATCCGGTCGTTGGCGGTGGAAGAGGAGTGGTTCAGTCCTTGAGCGAATCACCAAGTGCCCGATGCAGTCCGGCCCTGTGGGCCGAGCTCAGGACTTGCCGACTAGGTCGTTGGACAAAAACTTGGGGCTTCGGATCGGGTCATTGACCGTGGAAGAGGAGTGCTCCAGTCCTTGAACAAATCACCAAGTGCCAGATGCA